TAACAGATCTAGCTCCTGAAGACGACCATAGCGATAGTTCCAGTCACGTATCTGATGAGGCCGGGCCATCAGATGCTCTCCCCCCTGCTACTTACTATGACATGCCGCTGGAGAAAAACCTACCGATCTTCTCTCGCCTCCCCCAGGCGAAGAATCTGTCCATCATCATCGAGAATGCTGGGCGCGAATGGAGCATTGAAGGTTTCCAGATGTTCGGGCCAGATGTCATCGGTCCTCGATTCCACGGCAATGACTGGGGCATGCGACGCGCCGGCGATCACTCTCTTGAAGCTCAGAACCATTTCCTGAGCCGGGGAACACAAGCAGACACACGGACACAATGGAACTTCCAGAATGGATGGGACTACTTGAGTAGTCCCGAAGACGCCTCGCAATATCCTCCTACCGATTCGCGATTCTCACTGCCCAATATCGGGTTCCAGGGCTACAGCCGCGGCAACGTTTCCCTTGGAGGTCATTGGGCCGGATTTCGACTTTGGCTGGCAGAAAAGAAGGTAGAATTCAGCCCCCTATCGTGGTGGGAGGTTGAGCCGCTTATCGGGGATTACTTCTCCATCGAGGAGCGAGGTTACCATACCTGTCACCCAGGCTTTGTGGCACGGGTCTGGGTTATACGATCCGAGAAAGATCTTGCGCCGACCCAACGACCGCACCACCACTGGGAGGAGGTTCGTGAGACTGAGATCGGGGATCCTGCGTCCGTTGAACAGATCTCCACGACGTGGAAGATGGTTCGGCAAATGCTTTCTCGTGTTCGTGGCGCTGTCAGCATCGAAGATGACAACGACCTCAACCTGGCCGACGGAAACTATGCTTTCCAGATGGAACATGTCTAGGGACGGGACGATGATGAGACGAAGGTCTTTAAATGCAAGCTGTCGAAGCAACGTTATGTAGTGAAAGACGACTCGGGAACAGGCGTGGATGAGTGGATTTTGAAGTGGACTCTTCCAGGACATCGACCGTGAGAAAATGTAGCTCTGATGGAGAAGATAGTGAAGACCTGTTTCCCCTAACCCATATCCTCTGAAATTCAGTTGGAAACTTTACAGGTGACCTAGACTGCGCTCTAGGAGCTAATAAGAACTCCATTCATTCGTACCTTTGACGTTCAGAATCCAAGCAATTTCTGCGACTGTCCAGACCAAGTCCTGCATGAGTGATTTTAAGCTCTAGTCACAGCTATATATTCAAAGAACATGAGGGTACCTCGCAGTATTACAACTTGAACAGAGGGGAACGGAATATGCCAAGAATTAGCAAATTGTGTTTGTGTTTGGCAAGGGCCGAAGGATCAGTTTCATTGCATTGTTCGTAGCAAGGGCAAACGATTCAGGTCAGTGATGACATCGGGTTGGAGACTTCAAGCAGACAAGAAGGCTCTTGGTACCTGCTGCAATACGATGTCGGGCCTCAGACCAAGTTACGGGTTCTCTTCCGGTGCACTCCAAATCTAGCCATGCCGCTGAATCAATCCAAGCACACCAAGGAGTAAAAAGATGTCGAAAAGGATTCGTGCCCCGATAAGTATCAGTCAAGGCTTCTCAGCAAAGGAGGCTATGACTTTAGCCCATCTGACCCGTGTACATTTGATCACAATGCGGAAGAGAGGAGAGCATTCTTCCAGGATATTTGAGATAAGGGAGGGTTTCACTTCTGGGCCGAGGCGTATGGAGACCCCCTGGCGAATATTGATGCCAATAGCGAGGCTCATAGCTTCTGGGTGAACAAGATTCGAAGCATGATTAGAGATTTTGTCAAGAGGTAGATGCTTGCGCCAATATCGATGGATGCCGAGGGAAGCGCTGAACTTTCCTGGCGGAATTCCACTGTATGGAGAGTTGTTGACAAGGCTGCTGAGAAGGGATACGATGGAGTTGTATTTGCGTAGGCAGTTCCGTTGACTTGGACAAAATCTCGTATTTTCGTATCTACGGTACCCACTCGCGAGATGATTGACCAATTCCTTTGCGACATTTTGTGAGCACAGCCCTGAATCCTTCATGCAGGATGGCGGCACGACACCCCTGCAGCATTGTCTGCCTGCGCTTAGGCTGATGCCCAAACCAGGAACATATAATAAGCAGTCAGCCCATTCCCATCGTTTCAACTTCAAGCCATCTCATCTGCAACATGAGAAGTAAGGGGGACTTACACAAACTCGTCAATCCCTGAACGAAGATGACTGACACCTTCACAACGACTTTTCCGACTACGCCAAATCCGACATGGACTTTACCGCGTTTCACACCGCCTCCAGAATGTCTTGATACAAAGAGCGTATGGAAATTGGATACGGATTGCTATTCTGGCACGGCGCAGGGGCTTTACAGAACGACACGGACGTGTGATTACCTCTGGCTGGGGTATACCGATTATCCTCACACTACCGGCGGTCTTGGCCATGGATTGAATGGCTTTTGTGGTCCAGGCTGGAGCCATCCAGCAACGGAGTGTCCTGTTGGATATACACCTGCTCATACCGTCGACTACACGCCTGATGCGACCACTTCGAGGGAGATATTGTGTTGCCTAGCGTCCGTAGATCCTCGAGATTTTGTCCGTGCAGAAAGTTGACTGATTCGCAGCGCATATGACTTTGAATGGAGAAGACCGACTTTAACAGATCAAAGCGGCAGTTCAGCGACACCATACGACAGATTCTGCGTTGCATCCACTCTCAAACCATCAGGTACTTCGCCCTTGACTCTAACAGCCTTTGACCTCTCATCAGAGAGCTCTTTACAGACAGATATCCGAGTCTCAACAGCAATAAAGTTCGATCCAGGAAAAGACTTGCTTCTAGCATCAGCAGTCACCATATCTTATCAGATAAACTCAGGCGGAACCACGTGCGTTCCTGACTGTGATGATCCGTATACTGGCGGGCCTTGGCCACGACCTGAACAAACAGTTACTCCAGCTCCCCCGTCACCAAACGATTCTGGTCTGGTAGGACTAGAGAAACTTGCCTGGGTAGGAATTGGGTTTGGAATTGTGGCTGGGCTGGGCATCATAGCTTGTATCGGATGTTGTATACATCGTAGAAGGAAGAGGAAGAGGGTAGTTGCTGCGGAGGGGCCTGCAGCGAACCCAGGAGTAGAAGAGGGTCACAATCAGATGTCGGTAGAGCTGCAAGTATCGAAGGGACAGAAGTCGGAATAACTCTTAATATTAATATATAATTTCTTGAGCTTGTTGTTTCGGTCTGCACTGCCACTCTGCAGATACCTCAATTCGGCAGAGTCTTGGAGTTGAAGCGATATCTATCCTAGCTCGTAGTAAAACCACAACCGGCTAACAACTCCTCTAATGCAGTTACGAAATCCCAAGAGGCCATGAAGAGCGTTCGAACTCATTGTATGACGATTACATTCATGATGCTCCCAATGGAATGCGGTGGTGGCACAGCCTCGTTGAAGATCGGGGCTGTGCTGACAATTTGGCGGTGGACACGGCCAATTTTGACCGAAGAGGCCCAGGGTTGCAGTTGAATGTCACAGCTTCTTATTGGACGTCTAGGCTCACGCGGTCGGTGCTATCACATCTGCTAAACCAGCTTGAGAGAGGTTTGGACATTTTGGCTTACTCTGGCATACCTTTTACAGTGGCTATGCTGCATGTGCCGTGAAGGAATGCATCGTCGGTGAGAATGCAGCACAAAGCTTGATATCACGGATTGTTAGGATAATCGGTATTTGGACTGGCGACATAATATGTTGATTCCCTGACCTATAGAGAACTGATCAGTAGCCTCATCTTACAACTTTCATTGTAAAGCCCTATGACCATTCTTGCATTCATTATTCTACCTCGACTTCAAGATGGGAAGCAGCCGCCTTGACACCTATAGTCGTTTCTCTTCGCTCAATCGAACCAATCCCTCTTCGCAAAATCCCTATGAAGAAAATGACCGAGAGTCGCTTTCCGAGCCGTTCAGTCCGACGGGTTTGCTTGGGGAAAAATATGATCTGCTTAAACAGCAGATGGAGGCTAGATCGCAGATGACCAAACCCAACGACAGTCCATTCAAAAGAGGTCTTTTGGGATCTCTCGCTGAGTCCGAAGGTAGGGGCTGCCGCGCTTCATACGACACCAATAGAGCCCCACGAGGATTGTCTAGGTCAGCATCAACAGCAAGCTCCTCGAACCGTTGCGGTCCAAGACGAACGCCGAATGTCTCATCCGTTAGGACCGACTCGATCTATTGCGCTCAGTCTGGTGTTACACCACCTCCTCTGCTGGATATCTCACCGACACTTCCGCAGCGGCGAGCATCACAGCGGGACCGAAACTCTCAAAGTTTCAGATCACCAACTGGTTGGCCACTGCTGAGTTTGCCCGAGACCTCAAACACACAGTGGAGCAGCCCTCACCTGTCATCACTGGGTCGTAGCCATTCTGTTGCTGTTCGGTCTTCGAGTGGTTCTTGGGGTCCTTCAGGGAGCGGATCTAGCTCACATACAACGCCTGTGTCCTCGACACCAAGCCGCCGTGTTTCCACAGCTACCGCTCCAGCTCGTGCTGAGACATGGTATCAAGGTGATCAAGCTGAACCGAAGCGTCGTGGTACGTTACGGAGGTGCTGAGCCTCATATCAGGGCTCTGTTGTTAGAAGAACAATAACAATTTCACAATAACTTAGTTGTTGGAATATGAATCATGGGGAAATATCATGTTAATATTAATAAATATAATCGACGCGCCACTTGTCTCTCTGCCATGTACGTCTAGACTCAGCTTATCTCTTGTCCACGACACAGTAAACAAACAACCCAGTGGCCACAAAACCAATTAAGGAAAGCAGAGGGGAAGGCCAAAATGCAAAATGCAGCCGCGCATCAGGGGTATCAGAAGAGAGAAAAAGAACAAAATTTGGTCAAGGAGAAGAAGCCGATCGTACGGTTGATGGAGTCGTCTTGGCAATAGGAAATGTGCTGGCGTTGACGTTTGTGCGTAACATCTTCGGATCTTGGCTTTCACTTACTCAAAGATCTAGAAAAAAGCGTAAGTAGACATATTCCCCGCAGAATTATGATTCACTTACCATAAGGCCTCGAAACCTTTACTTCTTTTGATGGTGATGGCCCGTGAACCATTTCTTGAAGTGGAGAGCCAAACTTCCAAAAGGTCTAGAAGACTTCTTTTCAGGTTCTTCTTCGTCAGAGGGCGTTTCATTTTCGGAGAATTCATCTTCGGATGATTCATCGTCGAAGGTAGTTGCCTCTTGCTTGAGCCATTCGATAAGGCGCTCGTTGACTTCGTCGAGGATTTCGGAGGACATCGCTTGCGGGTTATTGCCTGACGGCGTTGGACATTCTTTAGTAGGGCAAGGCATTTTCGCTTGCCTGAACTTGTCGCGATTTAGTCGTGGTTGTTGTTGTCTTGAGTGCCAAGTTGAGTGAGTTTGAGCTGAGATGAGTTTTGCTGTGTTGGGTTGCGTCGAATGAGATAGCTCAGAATCAGGATGTGGGAATAAAGAACAAGTTATCGTCTTTAACTCTAGCAGACATGAATATTAGTTACATCAACTCGTCAGACTCAGTTGTAAGCTTCATGGCACTGGTACCTTTGTGAGCTTTGTTCTTTGTCCAAAATGGCTTGTTCAAGACTTTGAATGCCCTTGTTCAGTGAAACTGAGAGTTCTAGGGGTGTGTTCCGTTTAGCTCGCATGGTTCCAGCCTCAGGCTCCAGCGCCATGCCTACGATGAGTTTGCCAGTGGCAGTGACCGCTCATATACAGGCGTGCGGCTGTATATGGTAGCTCCATTCCTGTGAGCCGTTTCCAATTTTGCGGTATATTGGGCGCCTAGATAAGGTCGAAATCAGCATAAGCTCTCGGTCGTCGACGACAAGCTGCAGAATATTGTATCAGAATGATGAATACATTGGGAGTGAGAGTGACTGGTTTATTTATTGAGAGCATTCGATGTTGAGAACCGTTCGGATGTTCCCCGTCTTCTTCGAACTCGTTTGTGTCGAAACCAGTATTGATAACATTCATAAAGACGAATTCGGGTTGGGGACTTGCGAGAGATCAGCCGTGGATTAGATCCGCCGAACACCTGGACCTCGTCATCTATGGACCGAATTGCCCCACGGTGATCGTGCAAGTCTTCCTTGTTACCACTTTGAGTGCTCCACTGCACCGTAGGCCACAGATTGCTCAGCCTGTTGACTTCCACGGCGATATGATTCATTGGTCCATCCACGACGTATGAGTGAGATCTCTCAATTAATCACGTCAAAGAGCGAACTCCTCGACCGAGGACTCATACTGGAAAGTACAGTGTGATGCTATCGGTAACAGAAATTGGAATCAGTATCCATTCTATCAAGCCTCGCCGTCAAAACCCCTGGAGAAAACTCAGTTATGCATAATTGACATTGGTTTCGACAGATGCCGAGACTAAATGTTGAACTTGTAGGTGGAATGACTCTGAAATTATCGAAAAGCAAGCATTGTTGTCGTTCATGGACGGATACTCTGATCGCTATACCTTGACCCTTATCATATAGTTCCTGCGGTGGAAATTCCACGGTGTCAGGTTGACTTGTGGATACATGGAGTCGACTACCTATATATTCTCGATGATCGATAATATGCTGTAGTCGAAAGTGGTACTGATGCGCTCTACCGTCAGTGGAGGACAGTGGCTCGAAGTTATGCACCCTGCTGAGTTGAAAGCGAAAGCAACGCTCCTTTTGGGTTAGCACTTTCACTCTAATTACACTTTTCAATGTGCTCTGGTTGAGGACTGATGTGCCTTGACTCACAGAGTCACTCCAGCTTGGATTAGGTCCACTGCAAGCATCTTTGCCAAAGCCTGATAGGAAGGCAGGCAAGGAACCTGAGGCAAGCTGCGAGAAACAGGGGAATGCATGAGATCTCGAACTCATGATCCTGTGGGTTAGCCACAGACTACAGTATAGGGGACCTTTGCCCTCGACTATCCATCCTCCAATCTCTCGGCCAAAGGTAGGCCCGGTAGTGGTTTCTTTACCCTCACCTTGCATACTGACCTTCCGATACCGAAGCTCTTCACCTCGAGGAGGATGAATCACATCACGTGACCACCCTCTGCCTATAAAAGAGATCTCTTCAACCGCAACATCTCTTCTTTTTCATTTCCTTTTCATCTACAATCGGCTTGACTGGTTCAATCAGCAGCTTCGTTGCACATTATCCATTCAATTGACTTGTCAACCTTCCATCTCAATCTCATTCAGCCAACGCAACATAAATTACTGCGACCCTGCCCCCCTTTTCTTCCACCTCGCTCATACCTGCCTTGTCACTCAAAGCATAGACGCTTTACTTGACAGCACGGTGCACAGCTAATAGCACTATTCCACAACTAGTTCGTATCGTCCGCTTTTGCCTACGAGTCTGACTTGTCGGCGAAGGACGATAACCCCCTATCTTCGGGCTGTCCATCGTCTTCTGCACGGTCCGCAACCTTAGCATATTCGTCCTCCCTATTCCCTTATTCAGCAACGACTGACTCTCAATCCGCGCCCTTCAAGCCAGTTATTTCGTTATTATCACAAGTTTTCGACCTTCATTCTTACAATTTCGCGCATTATCTTACGATTCATCCCGTCGACCAGCGTCCCAGTGCGATAAAACCAATTCCCAGTCACAGTTTCGCAGGACGATAAACACAATCGTCTGTTCAGCCATTTCACTTCAATCCACCAAATCTCCCCTGTCAGCGAACTTAGGTCTTTCATATCTCAGCTTACGGTCGAAGCCATCGTGCTCTTCTCTATTTTCGGCAATCGTTTCGCTAGGCTGTTCAAGAAACGTACGAATTCTTCATCATGAACTCTAATTTCATTGCACACCAGCCTGAGGCTCCCTTGAGTCCAGAATCAATGCTCTCGGATGTTACTTCAATCCCAATCGCTACGCCAAGCTCAACCGGCCAAAAGCGTAGCCCATCCCCGACCAACGATGAGCCTTCAAAGCGTGCGAAGACAGATGGGGATTCCGCTGAATCTAGCGATGAGGACCGGCAGCTGGACAACGAGAATGAGGAACCTGTAGCCGATGTCGCGGGCCAGGCTGAAGAAGACCTGGAGGTCATCGAGTCCCCCGACAACAACACAGAAGATGCCCCAAGAATCTATCTGCCGTATGGCTTTCCACCTATAGACCCTGCCAAGATGCAGGAGCTTAGGGACTGGCTCGAAAGCCGTGCCAATGTTGAAGGCGACAACCAGGTTGCGGCTGGGCTTCACACACAGCTCTTGAAGTCAATGGAACCTGGACACCAAGACCTGGAAGAGATCTGCCGCATGATGGGCATTGATACCAATGGTATTAACTGGAAAGACGGTATTCATGTTCCGGGAGTCATTGAGTATGGGCTCAAAGCAAGACCTCATCAGATTTCTGGTAAGTTTCAATCTACATCAGTCGCGAGGTTTGGTATTCATTGCTAACACCGGCTGTTTCAGGTGCAAACTGGATCTCGACGACTCTTGAATCGCCCCTTCGGGCTGCACTCTTCGCGGATGAGTGTGGCACTGGAAAGACAGTGCAAATTGGTCTTGCACTGGCCATTCATTATCACCGCATCAAAGCAGAAGTGGAGGCTGGAACTTTCAGGCCTCGGGATGAGAACAGAAGGTTCAAGCCTAGTATCATCCTGTGTCCCGCCGACCTTGCGTACCAAACCTTCAAAGAATGGTCTCGCTGGTTTCCCAGTTTCTTCAAAATCCGGATTTGCCATCGTACAAGGTTTCTCACGCGTGACTACTTCACCAGAATGCACATCATGCCTCACAAGAATGGTCTACAAGATTGGGTCAATGAGAATGCTGCGTCGCATGAAGACATCGAGGTAAGTGATTGTTTCCAGACTCTGATATTTGTTTACTAACATGCATTCACCAGACCCTTCGAAGCATCGCGATCGTCCCCTACTATACAGCAATGCGGCGAATGTTATGGCGCAGAAGACGAGACTGTGATGGCAATGATGAAAATGGCGAGGCCAATGACGAAGATGACGACACCAATGGAGAATATCGCGAGGCCAATAGCGATGACTCTGACGATGAACCAGACACGCAAGCGCAAGTCGGACCTAGGAAAAAGGGACGCAAGACCACCGCAAAGGAGAAGATCAACTTCAAAATTACTGGACAGAGCTACAACTGGGTCATTTGTGACGACGTCTATCCCATTCGGGGACCTCGTCCCTTGACGCATAAGCTGATCCACCAGCTTGAGCATGAGGCGACGCTTGTCTCCTCGGCGACGCCACTCCTCAACCAGCAGGACGACATGTAGGGATATGTCACACTGCTGTGGAAGCGACAGTGGCCGTTTGTCTTTGCCGATACCGAAGGTGGTATCGGTGCTGAGGTGTATTTCACAAGGACGCCTGGCCTACTATCAAAGAAGGGGGAGAGTACGGGGACTTGTCCGTCGATCACATCATTCAACAAGGCCATGAACTTGAACCACCCTCCGCCCGTAACGAGCTCATCAGGGACGAGTATATCAGGTATATACGCGAAAAGACAGGGCCATTATTTCTAATGAATCCCGACCTCTTCCAGAAATTCCGCGAATTCAAGTTCGAGCGACCTGAGCTCGCACGCGAAGCAATTCGACCTCTGTTGGAAATGTTCTGTCTTCGGCGCGGGATGTTGACGCCGGCGATCATGCCCAACGGTACCTCCGTTGTGCCAGGCGAGGGCATCCCCCAGATGCGTATTAGAACAGTGATCCTTCGGTCCTACGATGACCACGACCAGCAGGATCTGTACCAGATTGCCAAGCATCATTATCCAGATCTGACCTCAGCCTCGAACGAAGATGATGAGCACATTGGACATGGCACTATCGACAAGGCTAAACTCACGTGGGTGAACCCAGCTGTCCTACGAACGCTGGCTCTGTCAACAACTAACGTGGAGTTCTGGCCTCTCACCCAGAAGAGAGGCTCGGATGGGAAGACAACGTTCCTCAATTCCAAGCCCATTCAGAAGTTACTCAACAAGCCACCTCACTTCGACAGATTGCAGTCCTTTAGTCTCCCTGGAGCAGCCGCTCCCACCGCTGCTGCTGACTCGGAAAACGTCGAAGAGGTTCTTTGGCGAGATGGAGTGGGCGGCTTGAAATGGTACTTCGGGCAACTTCAGCTTGCCTATGGCGATGACATTGAGTTCCCTCTGGTCCGTGAAGACATCCCAAGGACGTTCTGTTCACGAAGTCCCAAGCTTTGTTGGACAATTAACAGGGTTCTAGAGCTCAAAGCACAGCGGCAGCGAGTTCTGATCTTTGTCAACCATCCTTTGACTTCGATGTAAGTTTCACGATATCATGAAATGCTGAGTTGTTTACTGACTTAACCTTGGATAGGATCTTAACAGCGCTGCTGACAAGCCTTTGTGTCGAGACTCTGAATATCCGCAGTAGCCACACCGTTGATCAGCGCGCTAAGATGGTTCGGGAGTTCAATAATCCTCAGAACCGAGCCGAAGCCTTAGTCCTGTCGTTCCAGCTTGGTGGTTTCGGTCTAAACCTCCACGGAGCCTGTCATCACGGCATTATCGTCGAGTATCCAGACAACTTGCCTACCATGCTTCATGGCTTTGGTCGTCTCTGGCGAATGGGACAGGAACACGAGGTCCGCTGGGACGTTCTCTACCTCGAGAAGTCATTCGATGGCTGGGCTGATTCGCGTATGGCATCGAAATACGCTGATATCCTCGCGGCAGAAGGAGATATTCCTGATTTGATTGTGGGAGAGTACCGTATTATCTGCGGTTTTGAGCTGATCAAGCGCTATCTGGGACAAGATAGCAATCGATACCCCAGAACCCGGGTCACCTGGTCTGAGCAGGACCATCCCCTCGTGGCTCGCGAAGGCCACTTCTACTCGGCAGTCGCGCAGTATCTCATGCAGCACCCCGAACACATTACGAAGTTTCAAGGCAGACACCTCTATGAGATCGCTTGTCGCTGGACTCCAGAGCACGGAGACCTGACCCTTGACATGATTGAAGGGAGGTCTCCGGTCTTGGTGGATGGAGTCATCTTGGACTCGCGAAACCCTCTCACTCCTGGCTATGTTGCAGTTGAGGAAACTAGAGATCGCTATCGTGATGTCTTACAGCTTGATGAGATTCAGTCGAACTTGGCGACTGATCAAAATCGATTGGAGAGGGAACGGCGGCGACGAGTGGGAAGCTTGGGGTACATGAATGGTTAGTCTTGGTACGGAGATGCATGAAATGATGGAACTTGGGTGCTTTGATCATAAATATGGACGCCTTAATGGGGGATTGGGCCATTCACACTGGGACTCTGGGAATAATGGGCTGGGAGGACTGGGTGTTATATGGCGAATCTGAGGTTTGGAGTTTTCTGGGCTGATGGTTACGGCATAAAGGTTCATGATGTGCGATATTAGCTTGCTATACTGGGTTGCTATTTCAATGCGATAATTTTGGTGATATTCGTTTCCTCAAGTATGCTCAGTGAAGGGCGGCAAGCAGTGACGTACAATCACACGCTTCAAGACAGAAATTCTCACCCTCGATTTCACAGCTGATTTGCGGACCGATAAATGGAAGATCTCAAAAATTGCTCGATTTACAAGCTCGCTGATCGGACGATGTCAAGCGACCACTATTTGCAGTCACAGCCACTGCATCCGTTACACTATCAGATCAATTGCGAACAGTGCTCCCTGAATCGATCACCCTACAGCCACCAACGGGAGCCAATCACAATCGCCCGAGCCCAAATTTCTATAGCGGATTTAGCGCATCAGCCTAGCTCTTCCCCGCCATCATCTCTCACCCCCATGTCGTCCACCCCAGATTCAATTCCACCTCTTACAATATCCCAGCCAGAAACGGTCAACGTCATGAAGCGAGTAAAGTGCTGCACCGCTTGTCGCCGCCGACACAGAAAATGCGTCACACAACCCGGCGCCTCTCAATGCGGCACTTGTCTGGAGTCGGGGCAGGAATGTCGGTTTGAGAATGACATTCGGTTCAAACACACTCATTCAGAAAGTCAGAAGGAATCTGGACGGAAATGGGCGAAGGTTCCTCAGAAGAGTGAGTCACCAATGAGAAGTTCTCTTGCTGAGATTCATAATGACGTGTTGCAGTTTCTTTCACGGCCCCTCGTGGGATTGATGGCAAGGTGTCTGAGGAAGCGGACACGAGACCGGAGACGAATGAGTCGGCAACGCAGCCGATATCAGATGGGATGATGGAAATATCGATAGACGACCCCATGCAGTCCCAAACAGAAGCTGGCCCTTTAGAACAGGTGTTCAGCTATTGGGAATCGCCCTCAAATCTCATCACCGACTCTCCAATCGATCAGAACATGACACCAGCATATCAAGCAGATCACGCAGAGACTTCATCACTCCCACGAGCATCCATTCCATTTATTCTCGACCCGCAAATGTCTTCGCCCCATGCCGTCGCCCAAGTGACCGATCAAGATCACACCCAAGACCCCTTTGAGTTGACGGAACGTGAGGCCTTTCTCTTCATGACCTACATCCACAAGCTCGCACCTCTTGTAAGAACTTACACCGCAACCAATTCAGAGAACTAACTCTTCAAGTCCGACGCATGTGACGACGCCCGCCATTTCGCCCTCGAAGTCCCCCGTCTGGCCCTCCATCAACCGATGATAATGAACGGCCTCCTCGCGCTCGCAAGCCGCTACGACTCTCGCTGTACCAACAGCTCCGACGACATCGAGAGCACATTCTATCACAACAAGTGTATAAAACTCCTCATCGAAGCGTTCGCTCAACCGCCTGAGACCTGGGACTCGACGCTCCTCACGGCTGTTGTGATCGCGCGGTTGTACGAGGAGAACGATAACGAGACGGATTCTTACTATCATCATCTCAGCGGAACGCAAAACCTCTTAAATCATGAAGTAATCGCGAGGTTTGTTATGCAAGGTGGGCTGGCTGAAGCGGCGAGTTGGGTTCACCTTCGACAAGCTATCTACGTCTATGTTGTTCGCAGGGAGCCGCTTGAGATATGTCTTGAGAATTTTGAGAGATCAACGGTATTTCGGAGATCTGATGACTCCGCATATGCGAACAGGGCAGTTTATAACTTTGCGAAACTGATGAGGCTATCTCTGCCAATGGAAAGTCCAGTTGGTGATTTTGGGGAGTGGGGAGCAGCCGAGAGGGAGATCGAGGAATGGTATGATGCCAGACCAGTTTCATTCAAGCCAATATTTCACAAGATGGCGGACATCTCAAGCGACAGACCGTTTCCAGTCATTTGCTTTGCTGCGTCGGTGCCTGGTGAGTACCCAAACACCTTTGCCTTTATTGTTTGCTAACATGCTCGAGTCGTGGCGATGCAGCATTACTACGCAGCCAAGGCCGTTTTGTGCTTACGCGACAGCAAACAGACGACAGACAATTATAGCAGGCAAGATTTTGAAGTACGTCCTCCTGCTTGTGTTGGGAGAAGGCTGACTGGTTGTTAGAACAACATATCTTCGCACCTTTGCATGCTGATGGGCCTTGCTTTGTCCAATTCGCACGTGGCCAACGCATTCTATCTACCAGCACATATGTTGTCGCTCTGTATGTTCATCCGGGAGTCCTAGCGTTGAGAATGATTGCTGATGTGGGTTTGTTGTAGGTGGATACTGCATAAGGGATCCTTGCGCGCAAACACATACGATACAGTATCTGACGAAGGTCGACGAGGTGATCAAATGGAAGACAAAGGCACTTATTGGAACACTGAGAAGAGAGTGGGACAACCAAAACTGACTTGATGCAAACTCTGTCTCAACTAAAGTAGGTACAAATAATATACAGGCTAGGGGAGGAAAGAAAACACAGGACCTTAATCCTAAATGATAAAAAAGACTTATGGGATATAGCCTAAGCTTAGGATAACTTTTATTAAGTTTATTTTGATACCCCTATATTAAGGACCGGTGTTTTCTTGCTCTCTGACGTCAGGCCCCGTCAAGTCAACCACAACACCTGTATCATTCTCCACCAGTGATGTCTATACTCTCTAAGGATGAGGTGCCACTCTTCAGCCCTTCATGGTCTCAACTGGTACTTGAATTGGTCTAGGACGTAGTTGTACAAGACGACGCCATCCTGAATCGCTGGAAGCCGAAGGTTAACGTGCTCCATAGTCACGAAAACTCCAGGCTTCTAGCTCTTGGCGATCTTGGCTATGGTCCTTTGATCTTTAAACTTGTCGGCATAGGCGAGATTTTCTTTCAGAAACAAGCCGACGCGATAGTAGAACTGGCCTATAATCGTTAAACGAAGCTTCACACCAGATTGACGCTGAAACTCACCTTCGCGCTTGATCTCTTCACTGTCCATGTTGCTCCAATGGACACGTTCCCTCGGATAGCGGCTTACATCTTGACTCATCCGGAGCGCAACCGCATGGTGGCAGAGAATAGTTCGCATATGACCCCACAATCCGGGATAAAAATTGATATCCGCTACCATTGCATCCACCTCCCTTTTCACCATGTGTAGATCGCACAACGTATCGAGCGAATTCGCAACGTGCTAGGTCGTCCACTAAGCCATCGCCGACTTGTCGCGCAGGATCAACACACTCCTTGCGTGACCCTGTTCCTAAACCTCATTTGAAGTCTCGAGCAAGAAGCCTCGGTGGCACTCGCCGTGGTATTCAGGGCCCGGGATTCTGAGCGTTGCGTATGTCGTTATGAGGGCGTCGGTGCTGCCCATGTTGAAATCGTGGACGATGCGATGGCATTCGGGATCCGCGCCCCAGATTGTGGCGACTTGGTGGGAGTTGATCCCTTTGGCGCGCATCTTTTCGTTCAAATTACTGTTGATCTTTTAGCTTTTTTTCTCAAGAGCTTGGCGATGCATGACTTGCATTGCGGTCGCGTTTGCCAACGTCTCTAAGTGCTCTCTGCTGATTCAAGCTCTCAGCCACAAATCTCAACTGCAAATAACACTTCTAGCTCACAACTTATTACACATCTGCAGCTCCGTCACTATCGCATCGAACTTATTCCCCGCCCATTGAGGCACCAACCCAAACTCATACCAATCATAATTGTGCTTGTTCCTGAAGTTCCCAGCGCACACCGACCCATTTCCCCCAGGAAGACCCCACTCCCTAGCCCATTTCCTCGACCCACGGGTTCAGTCGAGTCCAGGTAGCCGTAGTTGCAGAGACTGAAGTATTTCCCCATGCGGAGCGACTGGTAGCAGTGTCTGGGTTTAACGGTTAGGGGTTCGAGGCCGAAGGCTAGACCAAAGTCGTCGATGGCGTTCTGGAGATCTTGGTTCGTTGCGCCACTGCTCTTCTTGCAGGTCCAGCCTTTTTCTTGTTGGCGTTTGACAATGAGAGGAGGCCAGTTATCATGGCGGGGGGGAGAGCCTCTGTTCAGTTTATTCTTAGCGCTGCGTTGATGCTTGATTTGGAGCTTGTTTCTTATCATCTTGAGTTTGGCTTGTAGAGAAGTGGTTGGTATTGAGATAGCTTTGGGTGAATGTGAAGGAAAGATAAATGGGAGAGGTCAAGAGGATTGAATACTTTTTCGCCTTGGGCTTAAGACCTGGCCAGTTGTTAACCTTTATGGCCCAATGATGAAACTTACAGTAGGGCTTGCTGCAGAGTTCTCACTTTTGGTCAATAAGCCTTGAGGCTGAAGCGTGTTACGGTGACCCTCAAGCGAAAGGCTATCTTCCGGATCGTGACGCCAAACAGTGGCTTTCTCATCGACATGCTTATGATGAGTGTCACACTGTCCGGAAGTTTAATGCCTATTCAAGCATCTTCCACCAACCTTGAGCTGCCAGGTGAGGTGAAACTCTCCACATTCATTCTTTCGAGTGGATAAGCGCATATCGGCGGGAGAATGACCAACTATTTGAGTTAACCGTTGGCTTGACCTTTGAACCAACCAGGAAAAATCTCACGTAATTCTTCAAGACTTCGAATTTGATGTCTGAAGGCTGGTTCTTTGGCAATGCCTTTTTCCACTAAATGCACCGCGGTCCAGCCAAATGACTCTGCACCCTGACAATTACGATAAGAATCATCTGCTACAATATAGCTTAGTGTCGTGAAGGATTCAAAGGCACCTGGTACTCACCAATCAGATAGCAATCGCTACATCGTTTGGGGCCTGCTACTCTCATAGCTGTTTCAAACATGGCAGACTGTGGTTTGCACACCAAAGGCTCTTTGGAGTAGTCACAGTATATTGCGCCCTCGAACAGATCTTCAACACCCAAAAGGCAGACCACTCTCTTGACATGCGTGATATGGGCATTACTGAACAGCCAAAGCTTAAACTTCCCCTTGTCGATCTCCTCCCGTAACTGGCGGAGTTCCGGGTTGAGCTTGATGAGGGAATCAAATGGAAGGGCATCGTCGACCATGCTGTTGAATTCTAGCGGATCAACCTGATAATTGGAGACTAGACCCTCCATGATCAAACCGTAGCTTCTGAAGTATTCGTTTCGAAGTAGAATTGTCTCTTCCTTGCTGAAGCCGAGACGGCTCTGGAAGTAGGCGTTGATGAGGCGGGAGAAAACGTCCTTGACACCAATACCTATCATGGCTGCTGTTAGTAAATGGTGACCTTAAAATAACAAGGCCTTGCAGGCGACTCACTTCCTGGATAAAGACAGTCGTCTACGTCGCTAAATTGTATGTGAAGGAGACCGAACAGTGGGAGTTATAATTAAATGAAAGGACATACAAGAACAGAACTGGCTTGGGAGACACTGCACTGGTATATTTCTCCATCTTTCCTTTGGGGCCGAATTTCACAAAATAACGCTGTACTCAATTGCTGGAAGCTTGAGATTAAATGGGATCCGTAGTTAGGTCCCCTTTAGGTTTCCAGCTCTTGGCGATCTGAGCTATGGTACTATTCTTGAACTTGCTGATGTCTTTAAGGGTCCTCCTTGAGAAACTTGGGGATGGCGTAGCTATAAAGGTTATTTAGAGTACGATCTTGGTATTCTGACTTGCCTTCTTGCTTAATCTCTTGTTTCCATACGGCTACGATTTCTCAGATATCGGCTTGCAATATTACCTAATCCAACAGAGACTTCATAAAAAGCAAGTACGCTTCTCGAACCGCCCTTGATCTTGGGATATATGCGCGTATTGGTAGTTCTCTCTGCTGATTTAAGCTCTCAGCCACAAGTCTCAATTGCAAATAACACATCTAGCTCACAACTTAGACGTCATTGGTAGATTGGGTCCACAATTCACAAGGGACTGAAGAGATTTCGCAAATCATGGGAAATAAGCTGGTTTCGGGATGTAACCAAGCCTCCTTTAGGCCCATGCCTTAGCCTTTGCGCAAAGTCTGGGGTTATGGCGATAGGCTGACGGAAGGATGGATATTACGTGTCGTTATAATAGCCGAAGGATATAGCTATTACAAGCTCAGATTCGCGGGAGTAGAAATCACTGTCAACAATTCCGTATAGAAAATAGAGCCAGAACAAAACACTGAGGACAAAAGATTCAAAGTATAATCGCATATCGAGATATAATTAGCAATGAAAAGAGTTAATGGGCAACACCAAAAGTATCAGTGTGTATTTCCGTCACGTAATCGTCATCATCCATGACCGAGGGTGGCATATAGTGTCCGCCAGTTGGAGTTCTACTATCCGCACCCTCTCGAATATCTGTACAGCCTCGCGAGTCTGTACGAGAATCATTTCGTTTCCACTGAGGGAACTTCTCTTGTAAAACATTCAGTATACTGTCCTGCATGTGCTCGAATATATCCTCTATCAGCTCCTCACGATGTCCAATGCTTGCTTCATCGTTAGAATCAACAATATCGGGGAGCCGCCATCGAGGGTAAAGGTTCATGTGGGACGACTGTACTTGAAAATCATTGTCGCCGTCCTGAAAATAGCAATAGCAGAGCCTACAAGGAGGCTTGCTAGTAGCGATAAACATGACATCGTTCCAGAAGTCGCAAGGTCGAGTTTTGCCAGCTGTGATAAGATGACTGTGCAAATTCGCTTCGCAGTGAACCAGACTCTTCGATGGAAATTTAAGCTCCTGCTTCTGGATTTGTTCATATAGGCCGTACGTGCGAAGCTCCGCGATGTCGTCCTCGTAATATGATAGATCTTGATCTGGAAAAGCAGCCTTAATAGTGTCCGTTGGGGAAGCGTTCATTCTGTGGATTCGAGGGAACTTTCGAGGACGGGATGATGGAATGTAATTGACCGTGAAGTTTTTGAATAACAAGGGCCACTTTGTGGAAGCATCGATTATGGCCTCGGAAGCTTGACGAAATGAATGAAGACGACCAAGATGATGGCGCAGCTGACTCCATTGATATGAAATTTCTGGCTCGGTAGTGCCAATGTACTTGTGCAAGACTTTATCTATTCCGGTATTTTGGCTGTTATGTATAGCTTTGATGAGATCTTCGCAGTCACGGAAAACTATTTCCAAATCTCGTTTAGTCCCTAGTGTTTTTGCAAATGTGGGAGATGAAGGTGGTGGGGCTGGCCTCTTACATTTGTTTTTGGAATCAGTAGAAGAAGTCATGTCGCGAGGAAAAAGGGACTTTTGTTTGATGACTTGCAACTGAGCCATATCGCTGGAGCCTGTCATTGTTAGATGAGAGAACTGTTTGTGTTCATTTAAAAGCTTACTGCTAGGCTCCTGTGATCTCTCGCAGTTATCGATGCAAGACTGCAAAGCAGTGTCCAGTCCGTTTAGGTATGCATCAAATCTGAGAAAATTGAACTCAAGAATACGATCCAAGACTTGCTTTTGCAGTGCCTTAGGAGCCAATTCATCAGGGTTGCTTCCCACGTACTCGAGGAGGTCAGAGAGAAACGACTTGGCTCTTTCGAGTTCAGGTGTTTTCTTCGAGTTTGAAGCAAAAACGTAGTCTGGTCCACGCAGCCCCTTCGCAACAATAAGCGCTGTGGCAGAATCGCCACCCTTCTCATTATCGAGAATTTGTGCGATTTTACAAATTGCCTTCTGATAATCGGTCAAGAGGGCGTAGCCGCGATTCTTTCCGGAGGAGTATCTGATATCGCTCCTATGCTTGCAAGTCTCGTTGACAGCTTGGAGCAAAATACAAAGACACTGGTACTGTCTCTGCTGCTTGCTGTTGAGAGCCTCGGATGCTTGGTTGTTGGAAGAGCTCATTTTTTTGTTATGAAATAATTCACAAAGGGATGATAGATTTGATATAAAGAGTAAAGTAAAGTTACTAGTTGTGCTGTGTTCACTTGGTACTGACTATTCAAGTTTGCGTAGTGGGCCTCCTTAATATAGTAAATTCCAGTTGGAGACATCTCTTTGTGGGCCTCTGGTAGATTTCTTGCGTTCCAGCTCTGATCCAACAGATTTCTGCGCAAATCCTTCTCTGTTGCCTCTATCCCTAAGCCCTTTGCTTATCTTTTGCTAAGTGCTTTAGAGAACGTCAGAGGCTGAAATGCAGATGTGTAGAAATGTCTTAGCTAGTCAGGAATTATCTTATCTTTCAAGCCGCTTGCAATAGCTGTGCCGTGTTGTGTCATCTTCGACGAATCAAGTGCAGCCGTGATGGTTCCGATGCAATGCAAATGCAGGCTGATGAGCAACCTGTAAATTGTTAAGTGTATACGAATGCAAGGTGATCTGTAGCTTTTTAACTGAAATCATTTGCTGGTTTTCCGTCTTGTTTTCAAAGCCCTTGCACAACGCTGACCGGTGAGCTTCAAGGTAGAAGCTGATGGAGGGCAGAGTAAGTCAGACAAATCATAAGCAAGTAGAGTATGCACTTCTTTACCAACTGCGGTTAGTTGACTTCGAAGGGGTTTGGGGGCTGCGATAGTTGTTGGTCCGATAACTCACATAAACATCAATGATAAGTCACATTTCACACCAATGACGATGTTCCACGTGCGGAAGTCATAAGAGATGAATCACTCAAGTTCAGATAGTCGGTCATCTGCATTAGCTGGCCACCCGCATTAGCTGGCCGTCTGCATTAGCTGGCCGTCTGCATTAGCTGGCCATCTGCATTAGCTGGCCGTCAACATACATATGACGCACCAACCAATCAGCCTTGGCACAATGGTCTGTGTTCTCGAAAACCCTCAACATCTCCCAAGTCTCTCCTTGTTAACGCTTGGATAGTGCTCGGGGACTTTTTATAACAGTCACAAACTCGCTCCTTGGATAGGCCATTTGCTTTGGTTCATTCAGATATCGGTTTACAGTTTTATCAGGTTGTTCCACAATAGTAACTTCGTTTAACCATGTCATCTGGGGAACAATTTGTAACGTCATCTCCTCCCATTGTGTATCCCACCATCTCCATGGCGGGAGTGAATGAGGACTCGGAAAATACCCACTTAGCCACTTCCAACTTCGACGGCGGCGGCGGCGACATTGAATTAACTCATGACGAAACAGAGACGCTTCGTCGCATCGGAAACATCATTGGTCGCGGCTACCTCGCTAATGGCTTTATGCCGGCACTCTCTGGGACTAGCTACAGCACAGAGGCACCTATTGAAGAGCAGTCTGTTGTCTCACCTAACGTATCTGGAGAATATATTTCGGCTCGTTAGAGACCTAATATACCGCCTGACCCTTCCTACGAGATTCAACACTCTCTGCCTTTTCCGTTCGATTTTGGCCCACGCAGTAACATGGCTTCATATCATGAGATGTCCACCCCGCACCAAGTTGATATGGAAACCCCAGATTTATTTACGCAATACTCAACGTCCCAGCCTCTGTCTATTGCAACAACAGAGGCTGTCAGAGCTCGTATGGGACTTATTTCCCCGGATCATACCTATAGTTCTTCAGGACAAACGTACGACACAGAGTATGTGAACAGGTAGCGAAAGTGACAAATTAGAGTTTCTGATTTACTCTCCTAGATCCCGTCACTATACCCCTACAGCTTTCAGGTCTTGTCATTTTTGTGGCCAAATGTTCCAGGAAAGAGAGCTGGCGAGGCATTTGGAAACGCACCAGCCGAAAGAGCATAGAAAGCGTTACTATTGCTCTGAATGTCCAAAAACGAGCTTTGCCAGACAAGACGGCCTTCTAAAACACCAGAGTAATTTTCATGGCCGAGAGCGGAAATTTTCGTCGAAGAGATAACTTTATATAGCATTATGCACTACTTTGAATCGAACCATCTTTTGAAACTATAATCCTTGACTGTATGACCCTATTCGAAACTTAGGCCTTCAAACTTGTCTGCCAGCTTGTAATATCAGTTTTCGATAGATCTTGAGAATAATATGTGTGAGTCGTTCTAGAACAAATGGTGCGTTGTCTTGATAATTGAACAAGGCCCGATTCTTCTTCTTCCTTTCTAGGGAATAATAGGCGGCAGAACCATTTGACCTTTTTTTTTCTTCCTTTTGAGTGGCTCAATCACAATTATCTCGCCCAGGTTTTACTATTTTTTTTTCTTTGGTTATATTGACCATCTAGGGACCAGCGTCCATTCTCTGGACTCCGTCGCCAATGCGTTCCATGATATGACTATCCCACATGACTCGAAAAATGCAACCATGCCTCCTTATCCAAAAGGGTTATCTTGCGTTGTCCACGGAAATATACCGAGACTCTTGTTCTGCTCTTCTTCTGGTGGTCATTTGATACACAAACCTGGAACACGGGCCGCATTCCCTACCGAATATTTCTCCACCAAGTCTAGCGCCCCAAAATAAGCATAACACCCCGCGTCACCACAAGCATTCCGCTGGCCCTCTTTCCCATTGAGGCTCTACAACGCACTCGCGGTATTTATCCGCAGCGCAGATCCCGCCCTCACATAAAACCTCCTCCCATCTCACCTCTCACGTCCAGTTTATTCTCACACTCTCATCCTCATCATGTCGAGCACAGCGACACAGACCCAAGAGCCCATTGAGCTCACGACTTTAGAAGGATGTCACGTCCGCGGTAAAGAACTCGAGGAGCAACCTTCGCTCCCACCGGATGATATACCCCCGCCGTATGCGTCGGCGCAGGTTCAGAGATGGAATTATCCCAGGGGAAATATAGCGAAGCTTGCTTTTGCGTTTTTGTCGTTTATCATTGCGGGGATGAATGATGCGGCTGTTGGAGTATGTTCCTCCCATCGAATCTAATTGACTTTGCTAATGAGTCCAGGCTTTGATCCCATATGTACGTTGATCAACCCAATCATAGCACTCCCCTAACAATCACAGCTCGAAACATACTACGATCTCAGCTACACCATCATCTCTCTCATCTTCCTCACTCCCTTCGCAGGCTACTCCGTCGCCGCATTCACCAACGCCCGCATCCACATGAAATTCGGCCAACGTGGCGTCGCCATCATGGCGCCAATCTGCCACCTCATAACCTTCATCGCCCTCGCCCTGCACCCTCCCTACCCCGTCCTCGTAGTCTGCAACATCATGAGCGGTTTCGGAAACGGACTCACAGATGCGTGTTTCTGCGCTTGGGTCGGAGCCATGGATAAAGCGAATACCGTGCAGGGCTTCTTACACGCCTTTTACTCGTTTGGCGCGTTGTTCTCGCCACTTATTGCGACGAGTATGGTCGTTTCGGCGGGGTTGCCTTGGTATACGTTTTATTACGTTATGGTGAGTCATCGTGTACGTGTTATGCTTTGCGCTGGCTGACGGTGTAGATTGGCATTTCTGTGGTGGAGTGGGTTGGTTTGACTGTTTCGTTCTGGCAGCAGACTGGTGCTGTGTATCAAGCTGAACATGCTGCGAACAACTCGGAGGGTAGTGGCGCTGGAACAAGAGAGGCGCTCAAGTCCAAGGTTACGTGGCTTTGTGCATTGTTCTTCTTCGCATACATGGGTGTTGAAGGTATGTCTGCACGTCACTGATCTCCATTCAAAGCTCATTCTTCTAGTCGGTCTTGGTGGATGGGTTGTCACATTCATGCTCCGCGTCCGAAAAGCTTCAGCATATGCCTCGGGTGCTTCAGGAACCGGCTTCTGGGCCGGTATGGCTCTTGGGCGCGCATGTCTTGGCTTCGTAACTGAGCGGTTCGGCGAGCGGCTCTGTCTTACGATCTATCTTCTCATCTGCATTGGTCTCCAACTCCTCTTCTGGCTCGTACCCAAGTTCATCGTATCAGCCGTTGCGGTTGCTTTTCTCGGCTTCTTCCTCGGCCCTCTATTTCCTGGAGCCGTCATGGTCACAGCCAAACTTCTGCCCGCAAAGATCCACGTTTCTGCTATCGGATTTGCGATGGCGATCGGCGGTACTGGCGGAACGGTGTTTCCGTTCGCCATCGGTGCTATAGCTAACCATAAGGGTGTTGGTGTTTTGCAGCCCATCATTCTTGCGTTGATTACTGTTGTTGCCGGTGTTTGGTTGAGCTTCCCCAGGATCAAGAAGAAGGATTAGGAGCCAGAAGCTGGTGACGCTGTCGCAGCTCAATGGTCAAACAGTGACTGCTGTTTGGCTGTTCAGTCATGATACATGAAATAATGTCATAGGCATATGTGAGACCAAGTTGAAGGGATAGTCAAGGCTCAGTCGATGAGTGGTCTTCTAAGAAATATCTCATTGCATACGTGACTAGAAGAAAGATATCACCAATTTTACCTATCTCAAAGCATTGAAATATTTCCCTTTCATTCCGTTTGACCAGTATTTTATCATTCATGCTTTTCGTAATGGGACGTCTTTAATGTTTCCGTCTCATCTACCCCAGATTTCCATTTCACCGACGATCTCTCGTGACAACGGCTGCTCGGGAAGAACCCCGATTTCAATATCCGGGGTATTCACCCCAACCAATCCAACCCCTTCGACCCGTCTTTTCTATGGATCTTTACGGCCAAAGTTCCCCCAAACTGTCAATCATGAACAGTCCATCGGCCTGAATTACCCACTCAAGAGCCGGCATTCTCTCAACATGCCCCATCGGCCGAATGCCCGTGTTCACCCTCCAGCAACTGCGTTACACTCAAACTCGTATCATTATAATACCCTGACACTTCCATTCTCATACACAATTCTCTTTCCTACCGCTATCACAATCTCAACATCTCAAACGCCAAAATGTCCAAACCAATCGTTCTTCATCTCGGCGACGACATAAAATGGAACCATGATCTCTACAAGACCTTCACATCTCACTTCGAGATCAAGCGCTCGCACAGCATGTCCCGCACAGACTTC